CTATATCAGGATGTTTTCATTGTCTAAGTGCAGTAATGGCAGAGAACATTACGCACTTTATGGCTACTATGCTGATTATAGCTGGACACTGGATACCGTAGGAGTAGTTACTCGAAACCTCCATTATGATGAATTTATCTATTATCTCTATTTATTAGGTCATAGGAGCTGGTTAACGTCGCTGAGTTTTAGCTCTGGCCAGCAAAAAGCATAGTCACTGTTTATTATGGTTAGCAGGGAAGAACAAGAAAAATCACTACGTATTATCACTCCTTGGGGGCGGGTGGCAGTGAAGGAAAAATCCCAAAACAGCCTTGGAATACCAGAGCTACTGACTGTGGGTTAGAATGGTCTTTCATTATGAAGGACAACCCATTGAATTTGAGAAGTCTACAGTGAAAGTAAAATGTGTTCTTAAAATGCAATACTATCTCGAGGCAGCTTTAATTCTAACAATAGGAGCCTACATACCAGATGGCTTTGAAATATTTACAGGTCCTCTTTATCTGAAATTTTAGTTATCCAGGAACAACCATTATAACTTATACCTTGCCACTAAAAGTAAGGTTTATTTATTCAGAAAAAAAGGGTAATACAATTTTTCATTTTGAAATAAATCAGGATGCATTGAATAAATGCTGTTTAAAAAGCCATACTTTCAACAACTGAAATCATAGATGGCTTTATCTAAGTAAATCCCTTAGTGTGAAGACCAGATAAATCATTTGATGATTTGTGAGAAGTATGTAACTGCATGTGATTAAAGCTTCATGTGTATTTGTCATGTCATGACTCGGTAGTTTAGCCTACAGAAGTAATCATTCATTAAAATGGCCCATCTTCCCCACAATAAAACTGATTATAAACCATATCAAAATTTCTGCCACTTTTGGTCAGGCATAGTGGCTCATGCCTGTAATCCCAGCACTGTGGAAGGCTGAGGCAGATGGATCACCTGAGCTCAGAAGTTCAAGACCAGCCTGAGCAACATGGGGAGACACCCATCTCTACAAAAAATACAAAAAGTGGCCAGGTGTGGTGGTGTGTGCCTGTGGTCCCAGGTACTCAGGAGGCTGAGGCGGGAGGATCCCTTGAGCCTGGGAGGCAGAGGCTGCAGTGAGCTGAGATCCCACCACTGTACTCCAGACCGGGTGACACAGTGAGACCCTGTCTCAAAAAAAAAAAAAAAAAAAAATTCTACCACTCATGCCTGTGATCCCAGCACTTTGGGAGGCCGAGGTGGGCGGATCACCTGAGGCCAGGAGTTCAAGACCAGCCTGGCCAACACGGTGAAACCCCATCTCTACTAAAAATACAAAAATTAGCCAGGTGTGGTGGCAGAGGCCTATAATCCCAGCTACTCTGGAGGCTGAGGCAGAAGAATCACTTGAACCCAGGAGGCAGAGGTTGCAGTGAGACGAGACGAGATTGTGGCCATTGCACTCCAGCCAGGGAAACAGAGTGAGCCTCCATCTCAAAAAAAAAAAAAAAAGAAAAAAGAAAAAAAAGTTGAAAACTAAATTTGCTAAAATTAAATGTGCCTAATTTTCCTAATTAAAAAATGTTTATCTTTACTTAAAAATGGAGGGGGATATCTCACTATTACTAGAAAGAGTAACTATATAAAATAATTTGAATTACTGATGCACATTCAGAGTCCTGGTTTTTAATACCAAAAAGCCATCAAGGCCGGGCGCGGTGGCTCACGCCTGTAATCCCAGCACTTTGGGAGGCCCAGGCAGGCAGATCACCTGAGGTTGGGAGTTCAAGACCAGCCTGACCAACATGGCGAAACCCTGTCTCTACTAAAAATACAAAAATTAGCCGGGTGTGGTGGTGCATGCCTGTAATCCCAGCTACTAGGGAGGCTGAGGCAGGAGAATTTCTTGAACTCGGGAGCCAGAGGTTTCAGTGAGCCGAGACTGCACCATTGCACTCCAGCCCAGGCAACGGTGTGAGGCTCTGTCTCAAAAAAGAAAAAAAAAAGCCGTCAAACAGGCAAATAAAATACTGCAAGTCAGACATAATCATAAGATTTCTGCTGAAACCTTTTAAATGTCTTGAAATCCTATTTTTAACAATATTTTGATTAAAGCAAATCATCTTGATTACAATAGTGCATCTTAAATCACTGGGAGTACAAGTGTAATTGCTGCTTTATCTCTGAAATGATGTTTCTCTAGTTTTTTTTTTTTCAAAAATTACCAATTAAGGTCGGCATGGTGGTTCACGCCTGTAATCCCAGCACTTTGGGAGGTCAAGGTGGGCGGATCATTTGAGATCAGGAGCTCGAGACCAGCCTGGCCAACTCGGTGAAACTCCATCTCTGCTAAAAATACAAAAAAATTAGCCGGGCATGGTGGTGGGGTGCCTGTAATCCCAGCTACTCCGGAGGCTGAGGCAGGAGAATCGTTTGAACTTGGGAGGTGGAGGTTGCAGTGAGCCGAGATCAAGCCACTGCACTCCAGTCTGGACGACAGAACAAGACTGTCTCCAAAACAAAACAAAACAAAACAAGGCCCGATTTACCAAGAATATTTCTCATCCCCCTAAAAACTTGCCCCCCCCCTTTTTTTTTTGAAACAGGGTCTCTGTCACCCAGACTGGAGTGCAGTGGCATGATCACGGCTCACTACAGCCTGGATCTCCTGGGCTCAAGCGATTCTCCTGCCTCAGCCTTCCAAGTAGCTAGGACCACAGGTGCGGGCTACCACACCTGGCTCATTTGTACTTTTGTAGAGGCAAGGGTCTCCCTATGTTGCCCAGGCTGGTCTTGAACTCCTGAGCTCAAGTAATCTGCCTGCCTCAGCCTCCCAAAGTGCTGGGATTACAGGTGTGAGCCACCACGCCCAGCCCTTGGGTCTCTTTAATTTTGGTAGTATAGAAATAATCGGAACCTCAGAGAAGACACCTGTAATGCCAACTAGAAAAACACTGCTGCAAAGGACATCTAGTGGAAGGGTAAAAAGTAAAAAGCAGTAGAAACCTCAGCTTCCCTGAGAGCATATTAGACCAGTGCTTCCCAAACTGTAAATAAAGTCCATTCTCATCCCCTGGGGGTTCTTGGTAACATCAACTGGTCTGGGGCAGGCTTGAGATGGTGCATTTCTAACATACTACCAGGGCATGGCCGAGCTACACTGGTTCCTGAGCCACACTCTGAGCAGTGAGGCATAATCTCCATAGTGTGATGTTCATATTTTAGCATTTTATTAAGTTTTATAGGTTTTCATGCTCGGTATATCTTGGTGGCTAACCCCTGGGCATGTAATACTTAGAAATTTTCCACCAAACATGGTGATAAATTATTTTGCTCTTTAAAGGAATAACACTTATTACCTATATAATTTACTAAAGCAGAACATTTTACTCCTTGATGAATCCATAAAAATACAGCATAACTGTATTCTTACAGTATGTACAAAATCTTATTTTATCCTTTTATTTTCACAGGGCAATGCATAATTAGGTTGTTTTTAAATATAAAATTGATAGCAGTAACTGTCACACACCTCTATTGTCATTTTAGGGTTTTTCTCTTTCTCTGATACTTTTTTTGGTGTGTTTATTCAACATTTATCAATAAGAATTTTAGTGCATTCATTAAGAGCCAAGCACCAACACATCCTGATATGCTTCCATCTAGGACTTTTAGCTGCTTAAACACATTTAACATGCCTCTTTTCCTCCAGCAAACTCTATTAAAAAAAAAAAAAAAAAGAAACTCTTTCCTGAAATGAGATTATTTCAGAAGTTGCCAGTCATCTTGGAACCCAAACTCAGTAATAAGCAACTGTGGGACCACAAGTGGAAACCTTTTGATGATGGGGCCAGTGGTTTCATGGAATACACGGGTTTACTGCTATAACCCAAGAGACTCCAGTTGAGACAGTCTGGCTCATTCAGACACGTGCATCCGCAACTATGAACAGGAGTAATGCCTGGACCCATACCCAGTTCTCCTGTTGACTATATCTTTGCCAAAGGACTATTGACTAGTTTTAATGGGGCCAAGAACACAAATATGTATATTTTTCTTATAAAGAAACATTTTAATTCTATTCCCCTTTATGTAATAAAGGCTTCTTGAAAAACATGAAAGGTTTGGTGAGCAAATGCTTAGGAAGTTTTCTGACATTAAACCACCTTGTTCATTCATTCATTCATTCATTCATTCATTCATTTTTGAGACAGAGTCTCACTCTGTCACCCAGGCTGGAGTGCAGTGGCGTGATCTCAGCTCACTGCAACCTCCACCTCCCAGGTTCAAGTGATTCTCCTGCCTCAGCCTCCTCACCTTGTTCTTTAAAAATAATCATATTCTATGAACATGTGTCTGCTGGTGTAGCAGAAACAGAAGGATTAATCAATAAAGTCCTAGAAGGTGAACTCGGAGGAACACAATTTTATGAAGACTCAGTTTAAGACAAAGCTCAAACATTTGTATGTGGTGATGATTAAAACAAGAACAACAACAACAACAACGAAAAACAAGAACAACAGCCTTGCAGGGGAATGAGCTTCTGAAGGTTATTATAATAGAAAAAGGATGGAAGGTCCTACTTTGTATAAAAACTGTGATGCAAAATTTCTGGTATAGTTTAAAAATAAAAGAAAGAAAAGGCCCCAGAGAAAAACAAATATTTTCACACAGTTTTTTTTTTTTTTTTTTTTTTTTAAACTTGGGTTTTTTTTTTTCACCCAGGCTAGAGTGCAGTGGCACCATTTCGGCTCACTGCAACCTCTGCCTCCTAGGTTCAAGAGATTCTCCTGCCTCAGCCTCCCTAGCAGCTAGGATTACAAGCGCCCGCCACCATGCCCGGCTAATTTTTGTATTTTTAATAGAGACAGGGTTTCACTATGTTGGCCAGGCTGATCTTGAACTCCTGACCTCCAGCGATCTACCCACCTCGGCCTCCCAAAGAGCTGGGATTACAGGCCTGAGCCACCACGCCTAGTCTGCACAGTATTTCTTAATGTAAAATTGTGTGATGTTTATATCATTAAAATCAACTTATTTTATCTTTTGGCTTTCAGGTGGAATTTTAGAAAATACCTGGCAAGCAAATAGTTCTGAAAGTGCTTCCTCTTAAGTTCTTTGGTATAATTTGGTCATTTTGATAGTAATCAATCCATTAAGTAGGTACTTTAACACCCACATATCAATTCAAATGGAATGTGGAGTAAAGATATTTAGAAAACCATGACTGAGGAATAAATTGTATTTTTGACCTCATGGAAAACAGAACTCTAAAATTTTACTTACGTTTCTGTGGCAAAGATAGCCATACTGCCTACGAGGACATCTCCAACTCTATTTATACTAAAGAAACGTTCTACAAAACATCTCTTTCTGATTATTACAAGTAACTGTTCTATATACTTTTTTAAAGTAGAAGAGGCAAGTTTCAACCTGAAAAAAGGGTAATTTTGAATTTCATAAAGTTATACTTTTTTATGCCTTCTGATTCAGTGAGCGTCAACATCTAGAATTTAATGTCAGTTTGCAGACTGTTAAGGATTATTCTTCTATTTCAGGAACAGCTAATTTTCCTCTTGAAGCATTTTCTCTATTTCCTTATCCCAGTTTTCATCTCGTTTTTCGGATTCTGTCACCACTTCATATTCTTGAAGTTCCTGCTGCAGTTCTTTTTCCCAATCTGCAGAATCCTCTAAAAGAAACAAAGGAGAAGAAAAAGATTCTCTCTGAATTCATACTGCTAGTGTTCACAATTCGGTCCATCTCAATTACCTACGTAAAGTCCTAGCTGCCGTAATTTTAACATCTCAGCCTTCATTACTGTGTGTGCTCAGAAAAACTCAGTAAATTTTAACAGTGACCAAGGATAAATACAATTAGAAAGATAAATCTGTTAATGTAGAAGCAAAGGTATCAGATGTCATCAATATATTTTGGGTATTATTTTGCTTTCCCTATGCCTCTGCTTTTCCTTTTATTTAAATGGGTAATTGATAATTAATACTTGGTTGCAAGTTAATTTTTTCTTTTTTTTTGAGACGGAGTCTGGCTCTGTCACCCAGGCTGGAGTGCAGTGGCCGGATCTCAGCTCACCGCAAGCTCCGCCTCCTGGGTTCACGCCATTCTCCTGCCTCAGCCTCCCGAGTAGCTGGGAGTACAGGCGCCCGCCACCTCGCCCGGCTAGTTTTTTGTATTTTTAGTAGAGACGGGGTTTCACCGTGTTAGCCAGGATGGTCTCGATCTCCTGACCTCGTGATCCGCCCGTCTCGGCCTCCCAAAGTGCTGGGATTACAGGCTTGAGCCACCGCGCCCGGCCGCAAGTTAATTTTTACCACTACCAATGATGATGATGGTAGCAAAAGCAGCTAATGTTTATTGAGCACTTACTGAGCTGGGCACTGGCCTAACTGCTTTCTGTGTATCTTTTTTTTTTTTTTTTTTTTTGAGACGGAGTCTTGCTCTGTCCCCCTGGCTGGAGTGCAGTGGCACTATCTCGGCTCACTGCAAGCTCCGCCTCCCGGGATCATGCCATTCTCCTGCCTCAGCCTCCCGAGTAGCTGGGACTACAGGCGCCCGCCACCGCGCCCGGCTAATTTTTTTGTATTTTTAGTAGAGACGGGGTTTCACCATGTTAGCCAGGATGGTCTCGATCTCCTGACCTTGTGATCCGCCCGCCTCGGCCTCCCAAAGTGCTGGGATTACAAGCGTGAGCCACCGCGCCCGGCCTGCTTTCTGTGTATCATGCTTTTCATCCTTAGAACAGTCCATGGACAAGGTATTACTATTAGCCACATCTTACAGATGGGGAAATGGAGACTTAGGAGAGGTTAAGCAACTTGCCCAGGATCACACCGTTTGACAGCGACAGATATAAGAATGGAACCACATCTGCAGGCTCCACAGTCTATGCTTAACCACTATGCAGACAAAGAGTTGTCTCCTTAAGAGTGGAGACAGACACTGGGGTCTGAAGTCAGCCTGGACTCTCTCATGGTGTTCTGACTGGAGCTCTCACACTGGTCTTTCGTGTTGAGATGTAGAGCTGCAACTTTCCGCGTGGACACTCAATATACCTCTGTGTGTGTGGGATAATGCATCTGCTATGTAATGTTATAAAACAAACTGGCTATTTAAAAAGTAAAGCTAAGATTCATTTTTGTCTTTTGTTTTTTGAGACGGAGTCTCACTCTGTCGCCCAGGCTGGAGTGCAATGGTACCGTCTTGGCTCACTGCAACCTCTACCTCCCGGATTCAAGCGATTCTCCTGCCTCAGCCTCCCAGGTAGCTGGGATTATAGGTGCCCACCACCATGCCCAGCTACTTTTTGTATTTTTTTTTTTGAGACAGAGTCTCGCTCTGTCGCCCAGGCTGGAGTGCAGTGGTGCAATCTCGGCTCACTGCTAGCTCTGCCTCCTGGGTTCATGCCATTCTCCTGCCTCAGCCTCCCGCATAGCTGGGACTACAGGCGCCCACCACCAGGCCAGGCTAATTTTTTTTTGTATTTTTAGTAGAGACGGGGTTTCACCATGTTAGCCAGGATGGTCTCGATCTCCTGACCTCGTGATCTGCCTGCCTCGGTCTCCCAAAGTGCTGGGATTACAGGCGTGAACCACTGCGCCCGGCTTGTCTTTAAAAATAAACCTTAAACTTAGCTATAGAAAAAACAAAAAATGAAATGCTTTAATTGTTCTACAGCAGCAACCTCAAAGGAAAAGACACCCTGTGTTATGCAGGAAGCCACCAATTTCACAAATATTTATTAGAGTGCTTACTGAGTGCTAAGTTCCATGTTAGGTACTGTAGGGGGATAGAAAGACAATGTGTAACTGCCCTTGGGAGCTTACAATTTAGTCCTGGAGCCAAGACATATAATAAATAAAAGACTATTGGGGCCAGGCATGGTGGCTCATGCCTGTAATCCCAGCACTTTGGGAGGCCGAGGCAGACAGAGCACTAGAGACCAGGAGTTCGAGACCAGCCCACCAACATAGCGATACAAAAAATACAAAAATTAGCCCAGTGTGGTGGTGTGCACCTGTAGTCCCAGCTACTTGGGAGGCTGAGGCAGGAGAATTGCTTCAACCTGGGAGGTGGAGGTTGTAGTGAGCCACAGTTGTGCCACTGCACTTCAGCCTGGGCAACAGAGTAAGACTCCATCTCAAAAAAAAAAAAAAGAAAAAAAAAAAAAGGTTGTTGGGCTGCGTGTGGTGGCACATACCTATAATTCTAGCACTTAGAGACACTGAGGTGGGAGGATTGCTTGAGCCCAAGAGTTTGAGATCAGCCTGGGCAATCTGGCAAGACTCCACCTCTATAAAAAATTTAAAAAATTAGCCTGATGTGGTGGCACACGTCTGTAGTCCCAGCTGCACTGGAGCCTGAGGTGGGAGGATGGTGTGAGCCTAGGAGTTTGAGGCTGCAGTGAGCTATGATGGCACTATTGCACTTCAGCCTGGGTGACAGAGTGAGACCCTATCTCAAAAAGAAAACTGGTTTTTTTTTTTTTTTTGAGACAGTCTCGCTCTGTCGCCCAGGCTGGAGTGCAGTGGCCGGATCTCAGCTCGCTGCAAGCTCCGCCTCCCGGATTTACGCAATTCTCCTGCCTCAGCCTCCCGAGAAGCTGGGACTACAGGCGCCTGCCACCACGCCCGGCTAATTTATTTTGTGTTTTTAGTAAAGACGGGGTTTTACCATGTTAGCCAGTATGGTCTCTATCTCCTGACCTCGTGATCTGCCCGCCTTGGCCTACCAAAGTGCTGGGACTACAGGCGTGAGCCACTGTGCCCGGCTGCCAAAAATTTATTTTATTAAATTTTTTAGACACAGGGTCTTGCTCTGTGTCCCAGTCTGGAGTGCAGTTGTGTGATCATAGCTTACTGTAGCCTTCAAGTCCTGGCTCAGCTGGGTGCGGTGGCTCACATCTGTAATCTCAGCACTTTGGGAGGCCAAGGCAGGTGGATCACCTGAGGTTGCGAGTTCGAGATCAGCCTGACTAACATGGTGAAACCCCATCTCTAGTAAAAATACAAAAATTAGCGGGCATGGTGGCATGCGCCTGTAATCCCAGCTACTTGGGAGGTTGAGGCAGGAGAATCGCTTGAACCCGGGAGGCAGAGGTTGCGGTGAGCTGAGATCGTGCCATTGCACTCCAGCCTGGGTGACAGAAACTCTGTCTTTAAAAAAAAAAAAAAAAAATTATCCTGGGCTCAAGTGATCCTCCTGCCTCAGCCTCCTGAGTAGCTGGGACCATAGGCACGTGACAACATACCAGCAAAATGCCAGCTTTTAAAGCAGAAGGCTGGAGGGCAGTATCTCCATGTGCCCAGGGGTACATGCCCTCACCCCATTCCTGGTTACATGTCCTTGGGGCTGAGATGCCCTGGGTGAATTGCTTAACCTCTCTGAGTCTCAGGCTTTCCCCTTTACATTGGGGGTTTCATCAGAGGAGCTCTATAGTCACACCAGACTCCCTAACCCTTTGATTTGCTTCTGTGAGTGCTTAAGGCAGAAGGACATGAGTGAGGTCTGGTCATGTTTGTTAGACTCCACCTTCTAGTAGGGAATAGAATATCAATTTTATTTATTTATTTATTTGAGACAGGGTCTCACTCTGTCACCCAGGCTGGAATGCAGTGGTATGATCACGGCTTACTGCAACCTGGAGCTCCTGGGCTCAAGCCATCCTTCCACCTCAGCCTCCCGAATAGCTGGGACCACAGGCCCACGCCGCCATGCCTGGCTAATTTTTGTATTTTTGGTAGAGACAGGGTTTTGCAGTGTTGGCCAGGCTGGTCTCAAACTCCTGACCTCAAGCAATCCACCCGCCTCGGCCTCTCAAAGTGCTGGGATTATAAGCGTGAGCCACCGCGTCCGGTAAGAATCAATTTTGATGCAAAATTTACAAGATTGTGCACTGGCTTCAGAATAACAATTTTCTATAATTGGCTTTGGAATTAGGGAGGTGAATAGTTTCTTTGTTTTGTTTTTTACCTTCCAGTACGGCTGTCTCTTCTTGCTTTTTGTCAAGCACTAGTTGCTCCATTTCTTTCCTCAGATCTTCCTGATTTAAGTTACAGGCATCGAAGGCATCACTGACAAACTCAGAAACACCTGGGCTAGTAGAAATTTCTTCCTCATCCTGAAATGCAACAAATGAGCTCTTGAAATGGTTTGCTAAGCGACATTTGTGTTATTCTGGTTTGCTACTGTCTCACAATTTAATGCCATGCTATTTTTATTTCTTTTCTCCGTGAGCTGTAAGACAATGAGCACTGCTCTCCAACCTTCTAACTTGCAGTTGCTTGGTAACTACATGAGTTACCACCTGAGGCTATTATTCTCCCTCACAGCTTGAATCACTCCAACCGTTCTCTCCAATCCCTGATGAGCACATCTAGAATTACATATGCCAGTAAATCACCCTCAAGTCTCAGCCATAGTTCCTTGACTATTCAAGTACCAGATGCTGCTTCTTCCAAACCCATATTCATACATAGTTTTAAATGGTATCAGAGATAGTTAACACAGTTACTTTATTTCCAGATATCAACTACTAGGTACAATGTAAAACTGGATTACCTCTTGAGTTTTAAGCTGAGATTTGATTACAACGGGTGGCGTTTTGGGCCGTACTGCCTCTAAGAAGTGAGAATAAGAGAGACAATAATTGCTTGGTTCAGTTCTGAATATATATTATAATCACAGTAAAATATCCACAAGTATTATGATACTAAATAATTTTCAGAAATGAATTTTTATGTTATGCTTTCAGCTTTTCTTAAGTTATAAGAAACAGCCATGGTGAAACCATGTCAACCTCTTACTTTGGGGATATTTTTATCTACTTACCTACCTATCTATTCATTTATTTGTTTTTAGACATGGAGTGTCACTATGTTGCCTAGGCTGGACTCAAACTTCTGGGCTCAAGTGATCCTCCTGCCTCAGCCTTCTGGGGATATTTTTAACATGTCATCATATTCAATACTCCTTATATAAAATTTCCAGCAGGAAATAATTTTTAACTACAGTGTGAGCAAAATTCATTGAAGAATAGTTCTGTACTTTTTTAGGATAATGAGGATTAAGTTACTTATCAAGTTTGCCTGCTGACATGAGTGCTAGAAAAAGGCAGTCTTTATGGAATGCTGTCATAAGTCCATTTTGTTAAGGCAGTATTTGATAAAATGGAATTTTCCAACAAAATTAACATAAATGCTAAAGAATGATAGACAATTGGGATGCATGTTAACACTGATATACAAAATGACAAATTTTCCTGTGTAGAGCAACTTCACTCCATTTCGCTGACACTAAGAGCAGTGTCGGATCCTGTCCTAGTATTCTATATAACCTGTACCTCAGGACATGCTGTTTTGCTTAATCATTTAAAATTCTGTGAATGAAATCACCCCGCTTCTCGTGGGATGCATGTCCAGTTGTAATGAGTACCTACTATACACAGCAGGTACTCACTAAAAATTTAAAATATGACACAAAATGTGTTTCTTGTTTTAATTATTACAGATTTCAAACAGCTGCCATTATTATACAACACATTCCCACAACCAGTGGTAAGTTAGTGTCACAATGAGTCCAATGTTCATCAGTGCCTAGCTCAGAACTAGATAGATCCTTGTAACTTGGAGTGGAATGGAGCTTTGTTCTGCTCTACAGACTACACGCACTGGAGAAACATCAGGTTGAAAGAAACAAAAAGGAGGCGGACTGAATCAGAGTAGGGGACAGAAGTATAAAGAATCACATGGTTAAGGGCCAAAAATGAGAGGTGGGGAAGATGACGGATGTTTGAGAGAGAAAAAAAAAAGAAAAAAAACTCCCCAGGCACAGTGGCTCATGCCTGTATGTCCCAGCTACTTGGGAAGCTGAGGCAGGAGGATCGCTTGAGTCTAGGAGTTTGAGGACAGCCTGGGCAACATAGTGAGACCCGTGTCTAAAAAAAAAAAACAAAAATAAAAATAAGGAATGAGAAAGGAGATAAGCAAAGTAAAGGAAAGCTTGGGGAAGACATGATTGAGATGGGTCAGAGAGAAGGCAGTAAGAGAAAAATGAAGATTTCCTCCAGGAGGAAAATAATTTTTCCCTAAGACAATGACATTTCTGGTATGTATAAAAGGTCAAGCTCATTTGAGTCTCTAAGAACAATGTTTTCTGTAGAGTGCTGTCTTCTACCCGGAATGTACCTGTCAGCGGCAAATCCTGCTCTCTGCCATTGCTCTTCTCCTCCTTCCCTGCGGCCTGCTGTTGGGCGGCCAGGGCCGTGAGCTGGGCTGACTGCTTAATCAGGGAGACGCGGTAAAAGTAGTTCCTCCAGAACACTTCTTCCTTCACACTTTTAAAGAAAGGCAAATTAGAACAGTGGAAAAAGGCAAAATTAAAAATGAATAAAAAGCAGATAGACAAGAACACATTTGAGAACGTACAAAGACAAGTGCACGCAGGGGTTATTTGTTGTAAAGGGGACTGGAGTAGATGATTTGCAGGAGCACTTTCAAAGCTGAGTGAGGTTCAGAGGGGGTTCGTACTGGCTTTAACAATTTTTTTTTTGACACGGAGTCTTGCTCTGTTGCCCAGGTTGGAGTGCAGTGGTGTGATCTCAGCTCACTGCAACCTCTGTCTCCTGGGTTCCAACAATTCTCTTGCCTCAGCCTCCTGAGTAGCTGGGATTATAGGTGGCCGTGACCATGCCCAGCTAATTTTTGCATTTTTAGTAGAGACGGGGTTTCACCATGTTGGCCTGGCTGGTCTCAAACTCCTGACCTCATGATCTGCCCGCCCCAGCCTCCCAAAGTGCTGGGATTACAGGCGTGAGCCACCGCGCCCAGTCCGTATTCGCTTTAGAATTGAAAGCTAACAACAGGATAAACATAACAGCTATCTTCCCCGTAGCAGCAAAATACAAGTTACAGAATACCAATGAAACCTCAGCATTTCTTGGTATCTTAATGATACCAATACTGCTCTCAGTAGAAGAAAACAGGGCATTGTTGTGAAACTAGCATGATCAACCTGGGAAACGAGAAGCAGAGCCAGGACTCCACCAATCACTTGCTGTTTCTCAGACGATTAAATGCTTTCCAGCAGTGAGAAGAAAGCATTGCGGCTGTTGTTCCTTATGAAAGAGAATGTTTGGCAGCTTGCTAATAACTAGTAACCAGTAAGTCAGCAATGGGGTGGGAAATGCTTGATAAAAAGATTGAAGTGCAGTTCAATCTGAAAACTCTTGGTGGTTCTCAAACTTGGCTACCTATTAGAATCACCTGGTGTAATGTGTTGGTGCCCAAGTGGATCAGGTAAGTGTCCACACAGGGGGGTGGCCTAGAATGGAGAGTGAGAACCAAGCAGGGAGAGAAAGGTATTTGAGTAGAGGAGTGAGTGGCAGCAAAAATGACAGATCAGCCACATGCATGGCGAATAAGTAAAAATATTAAAGATAGTAGAAACCAGGTTTCTCACCACCAGAGAGAAGAGTTACAAACATGGGGAGGGAAAAAATGAAAATGATCCCTGTCATGAGGTAGCACCATGAACACATGGTTTTCATTCCACATAGAAATGAGCACACACACATTCCCTGGCTGTGTCCACTGAGAGCATGCAGAGCAGTGGCACCCCAATGGCAATGAGCACACCTAGCATCCAGATCTTGCTTTCTAAATACCAAGATTTAGACTTTCCACTAAAAGGATCCAGAGCTCCCTGGGTAAATGGCCGATTCCAGGGTTAGAGCAGAGGAAGAACACTATCTTGTGCCAGAAAGCAAGGAAACGCATGAAGAAATGATGGGGACGAGTTAGAAAGACACAAGTCAGTTTGAATAGTCTCCCACTGGCGAAACTGGTAATTTTTTTTTTTGAGACAGGGTCTCACTCTGTCACCCAGGCCAGAGTGCAGTGGCATGAACATGGCTCACTGTGGCCTTGATCTCCCCAGCCCAGGTGATGCTTCTGCCTCAGTCTCCCAGGTAGCTGAGACTACGGGCACATGCCACCATGCCTGGCTTTTTTTTTTTTTTTTTCTGAGACGGAGTCTCACTCTGTCGTCACCCAGGCTGGAGTACAGTGGCGTGATCTTGGCTCACTGCAGTTTCCGCCTCCCAGGTTCAAGCAATTCTCCTGCCTCAGCCTCCCGAGTAGCTGGGATCACAGGCGCCCACCACCACACCCGGCTATGCCCAGCTAATTTTTTGTAGAGATGAGGTTTCACCATGTTGCCCAGGCTAGTCTTGAACTCCTGGGCTTAAGTGATCCTCCCAACTAGGCCTCCCAAAGTGCTGGGATTATAGGTGTGAGTCACCATGCCTGGCCTCAAACTGGTAATAATTTGAGCATCAAAATAAACAACAGCGTCGGATTATAATCCACTGCATGAGTCTGTACAAATATATATACATGGAAAGTCTGATGAACAGAATATTCAGTTTCAGAGCACATCCCAGAAAAATACTAATTCAAAGAGGAAAAGAGTAACTTTACAGTCAAGAAACCTGGCAAACACCACCTGCATCAAATGACCCAAGTATGAACAGTAATGGGACAAATGGCTGCATGTGCCACCAGACAGCATGCAACAGACAGAAGGAGATTGATGAGACATGAAAACCAAATGTAACCTGTGAGTGTGAACTGGGCTCTTTTGCTAAAAAGGACATTATTGGGATGAATGGAAAAACCTCAATAGGGTCTGAGAGTGAGATGGCAATAATGTGTAAATGATCATTTCCTGATTTGGATGGGCACACTGTGGTCATGTAGGAGAATGCTTGTATAACACTACAGCATTTGGGAGTGATGCAACATTAGGTTTCAAGTGATTTCAAGAAAGTTCTCTATGTTGCATCCCCAATTTTTCTCTAAGTTTGTGTTTCAAAATAATAATAATAATAATAATCAATTGATAACTGTGCTCGCTTCAGAGAAATTAAATAAAAATCTTGAGGGTTGAATATGAAAAACAAAACTAAAAGCAAAATGGGTCAGGCATGGTGGCCTACATCTGTAGTCCCAATGCTTTGGGAGGCCAAGGGAGGAGGAATGCAAGTTCAGGAGTTTGAGACCAGCCTGGGCAATATGGTGAAATCACATCTTTGCAAAAAATATAAAAATTAGCCAATGTGGTGGTATGTGCCAGTAGTCCCAGCTACTTGGGAGGCTGAGGCAGGAGAATCACTTGAACTCAGCAGGTGGAGGTTGTGGTGAGCCGAGATCGCACCACTGCCCTCCAGCCTGGGCAACAGAGTAAGACTCTTTCTCAAAAAAAAAAAAAGGCTGGGTGCAGTGGCTCATGCCTGTAATCCCAGCACTTTGGGAAGCCAAGGCAGGCAGATCACCTGAGGTCAGGAGTTTGAGAACAGCCTGGTCAACATGGTGAAACCCCATCTCTATGAAAAATGCAAAAATTAGCCGGGTACACTGCATGCCTGTAGTCCCAGCTACGCAGGAGGCTGAGGCAGGAGAACGGCTTGAACCCAGGAGGCGGAGGTTGCAGTGAGCCAAGATTGTACCATTGCACTCCAGCCTGGGTAACAATAGTGAAACTCCGTATCCAAAAAAAAAAAAGAATACAAAGCATAAAAAAAGTACACACACATGCACACAAACATGTACACACTCCCTACCCAAGGAATGGCTTTGGTGACGTGCAGGGGGTGTGAAATTTTATTTTTGTTTGTTTTTGCCTGGAAGAGTGGCTCATTTTATGTTCTATTTTTTTTTTTTTTGGCGAGTAGAAATGACAAAAGGGTGGGAGAATGCCTCTTTATCCAGGTTTTTTTTTTTTTTTTTTTTTTTGAGACAGAGTCTGGCTCTGTCGCCCAGGCTGGAGTGCAGTGGCGTGATCTCGGCTCACTGCAACCTCTGCTTCCTGGGTTCAAGCGATTCTCCTAACTCAGCCACCCGAGTAGCTGGGACTACAGGCACGTGCCACCATGCCTGGCTAATTTTTTGTATCAGTAGAGGCGGGGTTCCACTGTCTTAGCCAGAATGGTCTAGATCTCCCGACTTCGTGACCCGCCCGCCTTGGCCTCCCAAAATGCTGGGATTATAGGCGTCAGCCACCACGCCTGGTCAATCCCCTGTTTTTTAAGAAGGGATGCAAGGTTCTTAGAATGGGGGGAAGATTGAGAAGAAAGCCTGACAGAAAAATACTTTGAAAAAGTAGAATACGATCAGTGAGTGCTAGGTGTGGTGGTTCATGCCTGTAATCCCAGCACTTTGGGAGGCTGCGGCAGGTGGATCACCTGAGGTCAGGTGAACACCTGAGGTCAGGAGTTCGAGACCAGCCTGGGCAACATGGTGAAACCCCATCTCTACTAAAAATACAAAATTAGCCAGGCGTGGTGGTGCACACCTGTAATCCCAGCTACTTGGGAGGCTAATGCAGGAGAATCGCGTGAACTGGGGAGGCAGATGTTGCAGTGAGCCAAGATGGCGCCATCGCACTCCAGCCTGGGTGACAGAGTGAGACTCTGTCTCAAAAAAAAAAAAAAAAGAAAATCAGTGAGAACTAGCAGAAAACAATAAGACTCAGGCTTGTGAATCTGGACAGAGCTTGTCTTAGATGAGACATCAGAATGTACAGTTGTCACACCTATGAATGGAGAAGCTAGGCCTGGAAGTTAGTGTGTAAGTGATAGAGGCAAAATGCACGATTACCTATACAAGCGAGGACAGGTAACAAGATGGAATTTGCTGCTAGACACAGCCCCACTTTTATTAATGCCACCAACATTTACCGGTGGAATTATGGTGCCATGTGCATCCGGCACTATGCTAGGTGCTAGGGGAATAAGACAAGTTGTCTGCCATCACGGATGGTCACAGGAATAATAACCTCTCACTTGTTAAGTTCTTACTACATGCCAAGCAGCATTTCCCAAACTGATGTGGCCACACAACTGTTGTAACATCTCTTGGAAGTAGTTCGGCAAGAGGGATACTGGGCTTCATAGCAATTTGTAAAGGATTATAGTTGACCATGAGTTTAGCTGAGCAAACCACAGTATGCTACAGCTGCTAAAAGAGCTCATGAAATCTTAGGCTGCATCAAAAACATACAAGATATGCTATCGTGTGCTTTCTGCAATTAAGACAACGCATTATATTCACTCCTGAGGACTCACTTTAACAATGACACTTACAAACCAAAGGGTATTTACAGGCAAATCACCCGGATGGTGAGGGGTTATAGAGACTAAGACATCTGGGGGAACTAAGAACTGGGTCTGTTTGTCCTGATAAGTTCCAGGGTCTCAAGCCATTAACACTGGAGGCAAACAAAAGTGAAATGAACCTTCCCAGGAGGTAGTGGGCTGCCTAAATATCTTTGAAATCA